TCCCAAGTAGCTGGGACCACAGGCACCTGCCACAACACCTGGCTATTTTTTGGTTGCAGCCATTATTGTTGTTTGGCGGGCCTGGGCTGGATTCGAACCCGCCACCTTGGGTGTATGTGGCTGGCGCCTTAGCCACTTGAGCCACAGACGCTGAGCCTCTTAACTCAGTCTTAAGAAATCCTATTGGTGGCTTGGTGCCTGTAGCTCAGCGGCTAGGCCACCCGCCACGTTTGCTGGAGCTAGTAGTTTCAAATCCAGCCTGGGCCTGCCAAACAACAATGGCAACTGCAACGAAAAATTAGCTGGGCATTCTGGCAGGCACCTGTAGTTCCAGCTGTTTGGGAGGCTGAGACAAGAGAATCTCTTAAGCCCAAGAATTTGAGGTTGCTGTGAGCTGTGATGCTATGGTACTCTTATCCAGGGCGACATAGTGAGATTCTGTCTCAAAAAAAAAAAAAAGAAAGAAAGAAATCCTACTGGAAGTCAGCCATAGATAGTTTACTGAAGATAAATATCCCTCTGAGGCCATCCTGTTCAGACTACTCTGACTTGACATATCTGTTCATAGCCAAGATTCTGATAAATGAAGGCCAGAATCCTTCTATAAGTAATCTACCCATTTAGCAATGAAAGGAGTAGGCCTACCATAAAGGCCTATTTTTCAAAATGTTCAGTAACTTTAATGTGGTTGAGTGTGGTGGCTCATGGCTGTATGTAATCCCAGCACTTTGAGAGGCTGAGGCAGGAGGATCACTTGAGGCTAGGGGTTCAAGACCCCCAACTTTACAAAAATTTTTTTAAGAAATTAGCCAGATATGATGGCATATGCCTATAGTCCCAGCTACTAGGGAAGCTGAAGCAGGAGATTCCCTGAGTTTGAGGCTGCAGGAAGCTATGATTGTACCACTGCACTCTGGCCTGGCAACAAAGCAAGACCCTGTCTTTATAAAAAACAAGTAAATGACTATAACGTGATACAATTTATTAATTCTTAAAGTACTTCACTTAGACCAATTGGGGTCCCACAGTCCCTCTGGATCAACGATTCTTGAACAATGTCATTAAGAATGGGTACTGGGGCTCGGCGCCTGTGGCTCAAGCGGCTAAGGCGCCAGCCACATACACCTAAGATGGCAGGTTCGAATCCCCAGCCCGGGCCGCCAAACGACATGATGGCTGCAACCAAAAAATGGCCGAGCGTTGTGGCGGGCACCTGTAGTCCCAGCTACTTGGGAGGCTGAGGCAGGAGACTCGCTTGAGCCCAGGAGTTGGAGGTTGCTGTGAGCGTGATGCCATGGCACTCTACCCAGGGGGATAGCTTGAGGCTCCGTCTCAAAAAAAAAAAAAAATGGGTACTGGCTCGGGGCCTGTAGCCCAGCGGCTAGGATGCCAGCCACATACACTGGAGTTGGAGTTCACATCCAGTCTGGGCCTGCCAAACAACCAAAAAATAGCCGGACATTGTGATGGGCGCCTATAGTCTATCTATAGGCTGAGGCAAGAGAAACGCTTGAGCCCAAGAATTTGAAGTTACTGTGAGCTGTGATGCCACGGCATTCTACTGAGGGTGAAAAAGTGAGATTCTGTCTCAAAAAAAAAAAAAAAGAAAAAAGGAATAGATACACTATTACATGAAAGAAAAACACAAGTATAGTCTTACCAAGCAGGGGAGAGGAGAGGGAGAAGAGGGAGGGTTGTTGGCAAGATCTCACCTAATGTGTACAATGTGAGGGTGTCAACACATCCCCTGGGTGAAGGGCTTGACTACAACTTGAACTTTATGTCGGAAATGAAGGAAAAAAAAAAGAAATGAAAACTTTAACCTAAACAATTACACCCTCATATCAATCTGAGATTTAAAAAATATATATAGAGAGAGAGAGAGACTACTTTTAAAAATGAAAATACCGGCTCGGTGCCTGTAGCTCAAGCAGCTAAGGCACCAGCCACATATACCAGAGCTGGTGGGATTCGAATCTGGCCCAGGCCTGCCAAACAATGACAACTACATCCAAGAAATAGCCGGGTGTTGTGGCAGGAGCCTGTAGTTCCAGCTACTTGGGAGGCTGAGGCAGGAGAATCACTTAAGCCCAGGAGCGAGAGGTTGCTGTTGAGCTGTGATGCAATGGCACTCTACCCAGGGCGATAGCTTGAGGCTCTGCCTGGCTCCCCCCAAAAAGGAAAGAAAATATCAAGCTGGGTGCAGTGGGTCACACCTGTCAATCTTAACACTCGGGGAGGCCAAGGCAGGTGGATCACTTGAGTTCAGGAGTTTGAGACCAGCCTGACCAAGAATGAGACCCTGTCTCTAATACCCATGACACAAAATAGAAAAATTTGCCAGGTATCATGAAGTAGTCCCAACTACTTGAGAGGCTGGAGCATTGCTTTAGCCCAGGAGTTTGAGATTTCCTTTAGCTAAGCTGAAGTCACAGCACTCTAGTCTGGCAATAGAGACTGTCTTAAAAAAAAAAAATGCAAATATCTAGTGCTTGATACTCTGTATTCCTTATTTTACACTTGAGAAACAGTGCTTTAGGAGAGTTAATAGATGAACAAAAATTTGATTAAATAATATTTTTGTTTTTATCTTGAAAGATACTTTCATATCTTCTTTCTGTCTTGTTATTAGGTGTGAAAATATGTGACGTGTACAACGCTGTTATGGATGTGGTTAAAAAGCAGAAACCAGAGCTGTTAAACAAAATTACCAAAAACCTGGGGTAAGCAGTGCATTGTCAGTCAGTTTTCATGACTCATTGTCAGTCTTATATTCTTAGACCAATTGATTGATTCAGCCAACATTATGAATTGTCACACTTAACTGTGTGCCAAACACATGGTATTTATCTGACACAGTGAGACAGATTTAAGTTCTTCTCCCAAATGTATAGGATGGAGATTCTTCTAGACCAATGTAGGGTTTCATAGCCAGGTGTGGTGACTCAAGCCTGAATCCTAGCACTTTGGGAAGATGAGGCAGGAGGACTGCTTGAGGCCAGCAGTTTGAGGTTGTAGTGAGCTATGATAATACCACTACACTCTAGCTGGGATAAAAAGAGTGAGACTCTGTCTCAAAAAAAACCAAATAGTGTTCCAGAATTAAATCACAAATATTAGGAAATACTGCATAATGTATTTCCTCTTTCTGCTCACAATTGCATAATAAATACTCTGAGATGTCCTAATGTTTTAAGTGTTTCCTGTTTTTTTTTTAAATCCAGTGTTTCTCAAAAGTATTTGCCATTGAACACCCAGAAATACCTAATAACTTGTCACAGAACAAAAGACATTTGAGGAATAAAACTCTAGGCATCTTTTTAAATGAATGATTTTCTTTGTGGACTTCTCTGGACAAAAGGACATTGACCCACATTGTCTAATATATCTATAACATTCCACTAAAAATTACCTCTCTTAATCCAGTTATTTATACAAAGTTGAGAGGCCAAAGACCGTATCTTTAACTGACTAAGTCAGCAGGGGTCAATCACTTCATCCTGTTGGCCTGTCTTATCTTTAAAATTGAAATATTTTATACTTTGTCATGTTAGAGAGCTTAGCCTGTTGCTCATATTTCTGTTTCTTTTCAGATTTGGGATGGGAATTGAATTCCGTGAAGGCTCTCTAGTGATCAATAGTAAAAATCAATACAAACTGAAGAAAGGTAAGTTTTATGTGCATATAGTAGGATAATTTTTTTGAGTAATTACTCTTACCTTTATCTCATTTTTTTTATAAATTTTACATACCTCCCTCCTTTTACAGCCATAGACTGATTCCCATATTGTTTTAGGGATGGTTTTTAGCATCAATTTGGGGTTCTCAGACCTGATAAACAAGGAAGGAAAAAAAACAGAAGAGAAAACCTATGCTTTGTTCATTGGTGACACAGTGCTTGTGGACGAGGTGTGTATTATCTCTTAAACATTTGACTGTTTGTGAACTGAATTTTGAGGCACATTTTCAACCTTATAATTTTGTCTTGTCTTGGTTAAATGCTGGCTAAGGGGAGAGATCCATGTAACAGCCTAACTAATACAGCTAGGAATAGACATTGTATGTAGTCCAGATACAGGAAATGATTTAAACCAAGCTGTTTATCATATGATTCCAATAATGGGACTTTTTCTTTTTATGATAGCTTTATGGAACTATAATTCATATGCCATATAATTCACTTAAAACGTGGGATTTAGGCTCGGCGCCTGTGGCTCAGGTGGCTAAGGCGCCGGCCACATACACCTGGGGTGGCGAGTTCGAGTGCAGCCCAGGCCTGCCAAACAACAATGATGGCTGCAACCAAAAAATAGCCAGGCATTGTGGCAAGTACCTATGGTCCCAGCTACTTGGGAGGCAGAGGCAGGAGACTCGCTTGAGCCCATGAGTTGGAGGTTGCTGTGAGCTTTGATCCCACAGCACTCTACCCAGGGGGACAGCTTGAGGCTCTGTCTCAAAAAAAAAAAGTGGGATTTAGTAATTTTTAATATATTTGCATTTATGCAACCATCAGGAACATAGTGTATTTTGTCATGTATAACATGCACTTTTTGCCCAAACTTGTAAGGGAAAAATAAGGATGAGCATTATATGTTGTACTAGTTCCATATTTACATAAGTGTTTTTAATTCTTTTATTTATGATTATGCATTGAAAGTATAACTCTAGGCTCGGCTCCTATAGCTCAACTGGCTAAGGCGCCAGCCATGTACACCTAAGGTGGCGGGTTCGAATCCCCAGCCTGGACCCACCAAACAACAATGACGGCTACAACCAAAAAATAGCTGGGCGTTGTGGTGGGCGCCTGTGGTCCCAGCTACTTGGGAGGCGAAGGCAAGAGACTCGCTTGAGCCCAGGAGTTGGAGGTTGCTGTGAGCTGTAATGCCATGGCACTCTACCCAGGGGGACAGCTTGAGGCTCTGTCTCAAAAAAAAAAGAAAGAAAGTATAACTCTAGAAAGCAGTTACAATATCTGTGTGTAAAATAATATTCTGGAATAAATAATTTGGTTTTATTGAACTTGTGATGGCCAAACTTGTAACAAAAGCATTTTATCTGGCCAGGTGCAATGGCTCATGCCTTTAATCCTAGTACTCTGGGAGAACGAGGTGGGTGGATTGCTTGAGCTTAGTAGTTCAAGGCCAACTTGACCAAAAGCAAGACCCCATCTCTACTAAAAATAGAAAAACTGAGTCAAGAGAATCACTTAAGCCACAGTTGGAAGTTGCTGTGAGATATGATGCCACAGCACTGTACCAAGGGCAATAGCTTTGAGACTCTGTTTTTTAAAAAAAAGCATTTTATCCCATGAAGAGCAATCTGTTTCTCTTTGTACACTTTAGGCAGGAACTAACATTCTAGCTGATATTTTTTTGAAAATTATTGGAATATCCTTGAAAAATCTTGAAACAGTTTTAGAATAACCTTTGAAGGCAATACTCTTCTTATCCCCATATACAGATAAAGAACCTGAAGACACAGAGAAGTTTAAATAACTTGCCAAATGTCACAGAAATAGAAAATGTGCCAGGCTTCAAATCAAGCCTGTGTTCTTAACCATTACCCTAATATATATCTCCCAAATTACAGCTTCTGATAAGATATTGGAAAGATAAAAACTATATTCGTTGTCGAAGATTTTAGTGTACAGAAGTTTCAAAGGATTGCCCAACTTTTTGCTACTAAGTTAGAAATTAAAAGTGCTTTTCAATTAGATGTTTGAATTCTCCTTTTTATTTTAGGATGGCCCAGCCACTGTTCTTACTTCTGTGAAGAAAAAAGTGAAGAATGTGGGGATTTTTCTAAAGGTAGGAAGAAGATAAAGAAGTGATGTAGGAAATTCAGTGCAGGGAAGAAATTTAATATTGGCTAAAAAGAATTAAAATAATTTTTTTATTATGACTCTTTCCCACAGAATGAAGATGATGAAGAAGAGGAGGAGGAAAAAGATGAAGCAGAGGACCTTTTGGGAAGAGGTTCTCGGGCAGCGTTACTTACAGAAAGAACACGAGTGAGTTGACTGTTTTAAATTACATTGATCTCATAGCTATCATATGGTTCACATTCTTTTTTTGGAAACAGTCTTACTTTATCGCCCTTGGTAGAGTGCCGTGACGTCACAGCTCACAGCAACCTCCAACTCCTGGGCTTAGGCAATTCTCTTGCCTCAGCCTCCCAAGTAGCTGAGACTACAGGCATCCACCACAACGCCCAGCTATTTTTTTGTTGCACTTTGTCCAGAGCCGGGTTCGAACCCGTCACTCTCGATATATGGAGCCAGTGCCCTACTCACTTTGCCACAGGTACCGCCCAGTTCGCATGTTCTGACAACTTGTGTGTTCCATTCTCCAGAACGAGATGACTGCAGAAGAAAAGCGAAGAGCACATCAGAAAGAACTAGCTGCTCAACTCAATGAGGAAGCAAAGAGGCGACTGACAGAACAGAAGGGAGAACAGCAGATTCAGAAGTAAGTTTATATTGCACAGTAAGATTTGTCTTCGGATTATGTTTGACTACAGAAATTTCTAAAATGTTCATTTTTAATCCCACTCCAGAGCTCGCAAATCTAATGTATCCTATAAAAACCCATCTCTGATGCCTAAGGAACCACATATTCGAGAAATGAAGATCTATATTGATAAGAAATATGAGACAGTAATAATGCCTGTGTTTGGCATTGCAACGCCTTTTCATATTGCCACAATTAAGGTACTAACATGCATTATATCAGGTTTCATTTATATAATTTCTTAAAATATAAATTGTGGGGGTGGCGCCTGTGGCTCAAAGGGGTAGGGCACTGGCCCCATATGCCAGAGGTGGCGGGTTCAAGCCCAGTCCCGGCCAAAACTGCAAAATAAATAAATAAAATAAAATAAAAAGAAGATTAGTTTAAAACATATATACATATATATATAAAAATTGTGCTTACATAAATTGTCTGACTGCCTCATCTCTCCCACTCTGGTCCTTCAGCACACTTTACTGACTTCCCCTCTCTCCCTTATCCTCTGCTACCATTCCCCTTCCATTTTCAATTTGTAGAAGACTAGCCCAGAAATACAATTTGCCTTCCTTCCCTTGAAGATTTTAAGCAGCAGTTGTATACCTAGGAAAAGATACTATTAGAATTTAGTGATTCTGGCTGGGTATGGTGGCTCATGCCTATAATGCTAGCATTCTGGAAGACCAAGGAGCTCAGGAGTTGGAAACTAGCCTGAGCAAGAATGAGACCCCCATCTCTAACAGTAGCTGAGCAGTGTGGCAGGTGCCGTAGTCCCAGCTACTCGGAGGCTGAGACAAGCAGATCGCTTGAGCCCAAGAGTTTAAGGTTGCTGTGAGCTGTGACATCATGGCACTCAACCCTGGGTGATAAAATGAGACTCTTTCTCAAAAAAAATAAATAAAAACAAATAAAAAAAACTGGTTGGGCACAGTGTTGCACGCCTGTAGTCCAGCTACTTGGGAGGCTAAGGCAGAAAGATTGCTCAAACCCAGGAGTTTGAGGTTGCTATGAGCTTGGCTGACTGGACAACAGAATGAGACTCTGCAACAAAAGAAAACAAAATCAAGAATTCTTTTGGGAAATGTATTTGGTTTTTTTTGTTTTGTTTTGTTTGGTTGTTTTTATTTTGTTTTGTTTTTTGGGTTTGTTTGTTTGTTTTTAAGACAGAGTCTCACTTTGTTGCCCTTTGTAGAGTGTCATGGCATCATAGTTCACAGCAGCCTCCAACTCTTGGGCTCAAGCAATCCTCGTGTCTCAGCCTCCTCAGTAGCTAGGCCTACAGGCACCCTCCACAACACCTGGCTATTTTTTTGAGACAAGGTCTCACTCTTGCTCAGGCTGGTCTCGAACCCATGAACTCAGGTATTCCACCTACTCAGCCTCCCAAGTGCTAGGATTACAGGTGTGAGCCACCTCTCCCAGATGCATCTGATTTTTTTTTTTTAAAGTGCTCTCTCTCTCTCTGTATTTATACATATGTATATTAGATTTAGATTAAGATTTACAGGTTAAACTCTTAAGAGCAGTCAACTGGTGATTCCTACCTAAATTTTAATATCTTTATAACTACCAATATTTTTTGGTGGGGTGGTTATTTGTTTGTTTATGCTTTTCCTTTCTCTCAACAGAATATAAGTATGTCTGTAGAAGGAGATTATACTTACTTGCGCATCAACTTCTATTGCCCAGGCAGTGCTCTGGGCAGGAATGAGGGCAACATCTTTCCTAACCCTGAAGCAACTTTTGTCAAAGAAATGTGAGTCCCCAGCAAAATAAATATTCCTAAATCCCTCCTGTCGGGCATGATACTTAGAAACATTTCCATTCCATATGCCATGCTTTCCCCTACCTCATGAATAGCAAAGCCTTCTTCAATGGCTCTTTATTAAGACACTTTATTGACTTTGTATTATTTTGAGGATCGACCCTAATTTAGAAACTTCCTGAAATGTTTTACTCTTAACTAATCAAAGAACAGAATCCTCAAATTAAAAACAAATTAAAAAAACTAGCTGAGCACAGTGTTGCACACCTGCAGTCCCAGCCACTTGGGAGGCTGAGGCAGAAAGATTGCTCAAACCCAGGAGTTTGAGATTGCTATGAGCTTGGCTGACTGGACAACAGAAACAAAAGAAAACAAAATCAAGAATTCTTTTGGGCTTGGCGCCTGTGGCTCAAGCGGCTAAGGCGCCAGCCACATACACCCAAGGTGGCGGGTTCGAATCCAGCCTGGCCCGCCAAACAACAATAATGCCTGCAACCAAAAAATAGCTGGGCATTGTGGCAGGCACCTGTGGTCCCAGCTACTTGGGAAGGTGAGGCAGGAGACTCGCTTGAGCCCAGGAGTTGGAGGTTGCTGTGAGCAGTGAAGCCATAGCACTCTACCCAGGGGCTCAGCTTGGGGCTCTGTCTCAAAAAAAGAATTCTTTTGGGAAATGCATTTGGGGTTTTTTTGGGGGGGGGGTTGAAAAAGACCAAAAAACCCCCAAGAAATGTATGTCATATTCTTTTCCTTCATGATATGGAATGGGATAATTTAGGGATATTATTCCAGATTTGGAAAATTAAAATGTGATTTCCCTCACCCCAATGGATTACCCATTTATAACATTCTCCATTTAAGAGAAAAGAAAGGGAGATTTTCTATTTTGGCTTTCTAGGCATTCACTCACCATTCAGAGGCATGTTTTTCTCTTAAGAGATACTAAGCCAGTTATAAAATATCTTAATAGGTATAGGTTACCTGGCCTAATAAGGAGACTTTTTAAAGTGCTCTCCCTTTTCTATAGTACATACCGAGCTTCAAATATGAAGGCCCCTGGAGAACAGACAGTACCAGCCTTGAACCTTCAGAATGCTTTTCGAATTATAAAAGAAGTACAAAAACGTTATAAGACTCGGGAAGCAGAAGAGAAAGAAAAGGAGGTGAGTCTGAACACAGATAAAGCATCTTTGCACAGAGGGATGAATTTGTTTGGGGAGGACATGTGAGAATACATGAGGATTCATGTTAATTTTCTCTTTGCTTAGGGCATTGTGAAACAGGACTCACTGGTAATCAATCTAAACCGGAGCAATCCCAAACTGAAAGATCTGTACATTCGCCCAAACATTGCCCAAAAGAGGATGCAGGGCTCACTGGAGGCCCATGTCAATGGTATGGATGATCACTCATGTACCTGGGCTTTGTCTTCAGGGGTACGTTTGTTATAAGAGTGCTAGATCAGAGGAGGAATCTGCTTATATTGCTGTATGGCTAGAGGGAAAGGAAAGCTCTATGCAATTTCTGGTGTTTTCTCTAACCCCATTCAAATCATTCTTTTCCCCAGGTTTCCGCTTCACATCTGTTCGAGGAGACAAAGTGGATATTCTGTACAACAACATTAAGCATGCTTTGTTCCAGCCCTGTGATGGAGAAATGATTATTGTCTTGCACTTTCACCTCAAGGTATACCTTTCTACTTAACTAGCAGAGCTCTTGAGCAAGATACATAATTTCTCTCAGCTTATTTCTTTTTTTTTTTTTTTTTGCTGCAGTTTTTCTTTGGCCAGGGCTGGGTTTGAACCTGCCACCTCTGGTATATGGGGCTGGTGCCCTACTCCTTTGAGCCACAGGCACCACCCTCTCAGCTTATTTCTTATAAAATAGTGATTAAAAAACATCACATATATGATCATTATGGTGATTAAATAAATAATGTCCATAAAGTCCACAGTGCCTGCCATCTGGAAGGTGCTAATAAGCATGTTTGTTCCTGTGATCAGTATAGTATGACCAGCAAACATAGTAGATCTTCTACGAATTCCTGTTTCTAAAATAGAATTTTTTTTTTTTTTTTTTTGGCAACAGAGTCTCACTCAGTTGCTATGGGGTTGAGTGCTGTCACTTCATAGCTCACAGCAACCTGAAACTCTTTGCACTTAAGTGATTCTCTTGTCTCAGCCTCCCAGGTAGCTGGGACTACAGTCGCCTAACACAACACCCAGCCATTTTTTAGAGACAGGGTCTCAGTCTTGCTCAGGCTGGTCTCTAACTCCTAAGCTCAAGCAATTCACCCATCTTGGCCTCCCAGAGTGCTAGGATTATAGGTGTGAGTCTCTGTGCCTGACAGAAAATTTTATCTTATGTAGGTTGCTACAAAAGTTTGTGTTTCTTAATTTTTGTGTGTGTAAAAACTTTTGTAACGACCGACCTACATGTAACTTGGATCTGGTTTTTAAAAAGTAGAACTAAATAGGCTCGGCGCCTATAGCTCAACCGGCTAAGGCGCCAGCCACGTACACCTAAGGTGGCGGGTTCGAATCCCCTGCCCGGACCCACCAAAACAACAATGACGGCTGCAACCAAAAAATAGCCAGGCGTTGTGGCGGGCGCCTGTGGTCCCAGCTACTTGGGAGGCGGAGGCAGGAGACTCGCTTGAGCCCAGGAGTTGGAGGTTGCTGTGAGCTGTAATGCCAAGGCACTCTGCCTAGGGGGACAGCTTGAGGCTCTGTCTCAAAAAAAAAAAAAAAAAAAAGTAGAACTAAATAAAATAGAAAACTTTTGCCTTAGACAAAATTTATTACCAACATAGTCTCCAAAGTCCCTATAAAGTAGGTTTTAAATGTACATATTCCCAAACATAATTTATGATGACACCAGGGGGTGGTTTAATTACTTACGTATGTAGCTGTGGAAGCTCAAATTTGAATCACTGCCATTTCTGACATACTCAATTTTATATTTTCATGTTTTCTGATATCTTTGTCTATTGGGTAGCCTAAGTCTTTTTTTTTTTTTTTTTTTTTAAAGTAGAGACAGAGTCTCAATTTATCACCCTCAGCAGAGTGCCATGGTGTCACACAGCTCACAGCAACCTCCAACTTCTGGGCTTAGGCAATTCTCTTGCCTCAGCCTCCCAAGTAGCTAGGACTATAGGTGCCGGCCCCAATGCCTGGCTGTTTTTTTGTTGCCATTTGCCAGGGCCGGGTTTGAACCTGCCACTCTTGGTATATGGGGCCAGCGCCCTACCCACTGAGCCACAGGCACCACCCCTGACTTCTATCTTGTTCTCTGCTTTATGCCACCAGAATGCCATCATGTTTGGGAAGAAGCGGCACACGGATGTGCAGTTTTACACAGAAGTAGGAGAGATAACCACAGATCTGGGGAAACATCAGCATATGCATGATCGAGATGACCTCTATGCCGAGCAGGTCTGTACAGGTCTATTGTATTTGCTGGGAAGTGAGGTAGGATGAGGTCCAAATCTGAGCTCAGGAATTCATAAACAACTCCTGAACGTGTTTGTGGAGAACAACTCAAGTATTTGATGAGATGATGTAATGCAATGGCTTATGTATCAATTAGGTTGCAGATACAGCTTGATAGTTAATAGTGTGGTGGCTGTAAATAAGGTGTCTGTACATAATGGTACTGTAATTATGAGAATTAAAGACTACAGAAGCACTTTAGACTCTGAGGGGAGATACAATTAATAACATGATGCTATTGTTACTATTTTGTCTTCTACAGATGGAACGAGAAATGAGGCACAAACTAAAAACAGCCTTTAAAAATTTCATTGAGAAAGTAGAGGCTCTAACCAAGGAAGAACTGGAATTCGAAGTGCCTTTTAGGGACTTGGGGTAATATATCTCATCATCTTTTTGGCCTGAAGTTTCCCTGGTCTGCCTTTCAGAAAAATGGATTATTCTTCCTTTAATAATGATTAAACATAGCATATCCTTTTTTCTTATGACTAATAATCTTTGCATTATCCATTCCCACTTGAAAACTTTTTAAGGATTTGGGTGAGGGGCTAAGTTGGAGATGAATCTCTAGTAAGTATGCTAGAGCCATATTTGTGATAGAGAAAGGGAAGAAGATTGTTGTGGCAGCTGCGATTTCTCACATCAGGAGGTCAGTCTTTATGTGTTTCTTATCTATTCTTTTCCAGATTTAATGGAGCTCCCCACAGGAGTACCTGCCTCCTGCAGCCCACTAGTAGTGCACTTGTCAATGCTACAGAATGGGTTAGTATTTCTTACCTCCTTTTAGTAAAATTCTTAGAAGCAAGAAAGGAGGGAAAAAAAAAATTATGACTCGTCGCCTGTGGCTCAAGTGGCTAAGGCGCCAGCCACATACACCTAAGGTGGCGGGTTTGAATC